AGTGAGGGGAGTCCCAGCTTCAGCCCTTCAATTAATGTTGAGTGAATCAAGTTTCAAGTGATCACTGGAAACGAATTGCCTCAGTGAGAGGCTTTGTGAAGGCACAGGGGCAGTTACAGCTACTACTTCAGCCCCTGCAAGCCTGAATCTCTATGTCCTGTCTCTTGTGCCACTAATGCAATTGATATATTATTGAATTTGGCCCTTTCTATGCTGGACTSTTGTCTGGGGATGGCAAAAGTGAGAGAAAGCAACATAGGTAAAGGAAACAAGATGGTTCAGAGGGCACGGGGAGGATTCRGGTAGCCTAAATATCTGCAGAGAAGAAATGTCTTGCATCATAGCCATGAAGGACAAAGAAACTGTGGAGTCAGGTAAATATGAAAGGCAAGGTAGGGAGGAATAGTGYTGATGGAAACCTAAGAAAACAGGGCAGCTCTGAAAAGGAACAGAAAAGGACTGGAGATCTGTGAACAGAGAATTCTGCTGTTCTGTCATCCCAASGATGTCTGGAACAGCAGCAAAAAAAAATTAAAATTGTTTACAAATCAAGTATGCAAGAAGTGTTGGAAAGAGAAGTGTTAGTACTTTTGCCCTGGAGAGGAAAAGAGAAGGGTGAATATTAGCTGCCTGCTTTGGGAGACCCCAGAAAGCTGGGATTGAGCCTTTAGAAATGCTTTTGGCAGATTGTTTATGAAGCTTCCCAGCATTTGCCTCCAGAAACAGAAAAACAGATGGAAAGAGACCCAGCAGGGAAGTGAAATCTCATTTATCTGCACAATGCCATCCTCCTGGCTCCAGCCAGCTCTCTGCATGTCAGCTACCACAGAGCCTACCCAGTCCATTCTGCTCCAGGCCTTCCCAAGCCCATCCATCACCCTATGGCTTCTTATTTCCAGGGAGCCTGGCACACAGAGCTGGGTTTATTGTCTGTCATCCCTGCCACACAGGCACATGCATGCTACACCCATGTAGATGCACACACAYTTTGTGTATTGCTGCAGCTTGGGATTGTCTGGAGTCCAGAAAATCTTCACACAGTCTGCCAAAATCTGAGTTTATCAGAGCCAAAAAGAAAACTGGCACAGCACACATGCTTGAGTCCAGCTTGTTCCGCCCTTGAGCACACTAACTGCAGCAAAGATCTTGACAGTCTCTTGRTTCAAGGGTTTTGTTCATCTTGGCTGTGACATGAGGAGTTTATGTGAAAAGTAAAAGCTAGGATTGTCAGATATAATGTTTTAAGTGAGATATGTGAATTAATGTAGATGATCTGATGTTCTTGCTTTGTCAAATACAAAAAAACCCCAAAATACAAAAACAGCAGGGGCAGTTTCAGACTCTATTTCAGAGCCCAGGTGACACAACTGTATTTATAGAGGAAAAACACGTGTGGATTTCTATGTACTTGCTTAGTGCATGGCTGCTTTAAAGGATTAGCAGCAGAGAAATAGTAGTTATAACAGTGAGTCCAGAGAAAGAGACCTCCCACRGAGAAAGTTATCCAAGATGCAAAAYTCCCCTAATTGCTCTTACAGATCTTAACTATCCACTACGATGCCAAAATGTATCAGAAATAGTGGCTCGAAGACAAAACTGCAACTCACACCCCAGCCCTGAGCCTGAACCCTGAGCAGCTCTGAGGATTTTTACTGTACTGGTGTTGTTGTGAGAGTCAGATTTGCTGCCTCAGGTGTTTTGTAAACCTGAGGGTCTATAAAGGCAGTGCAGGTAGAGGGGTGGAGCAATCAGGATGTAGGGCTGATGTAAAGAACTACAGGGGCAGCTTAACCTGGCAAATACTTCATCTGTTTCCCTTACTAATATATGACCCCTAAGAAGAGGATGAATTCTGGGCTTTGTTGTAACACGTGTGTTTGTTTATAACAACTTAGGAAAGGCAGCTCCTTACAAGATCAGACTTCTTTCTGCCTGGTGTGTGTCTCAGGCAGAATTTCATCCTTTGCAGGGTGCATCAGCAGTGTGAGAATCACTGTCACCTACATCAAGGAGCCCAGGGCTAGCATGGGCTCCTTTTGTGGACTGTGGCCCTGCTGGAAAAGAGGGTGAAGTTTACTTTGGTGCTTAGCCATTGAGAAATCTGAGTGCTGGAGCTAGGGAGGCTCCTGTGGAATCTATCTGTCTTTTGTAAGTGTGAATTCTGTAGGGTAAGAAAAATGAAGGAGGTATGAAGAGGTTTCTGGGATTAAGATAGATCAGGACATGGAAACAAGTGGTTAGGAGAAGGCTGGAACTGCTTTGCCTCTAGCACAGCAGTGTTGTATTAATCCAAAACTTGTCCATGCACTAATTTGGTTTAGCAAACAGTTCAGATCTCCCCTGATAGCAGTGTAGTACAGGTATTTATCTGTACTAACATTATTAATGCAAGATTCCCAGTGACAGTAACACAGCACATTAACCTGTCTGCTCTGCCAGTGCAGAGATGAGGCAATCTACATCTCTAGCTCCACTTTGATCCTGCTTCATGCCAACAAGACAGCTGGGCAGCTTAAATAAATGCCCCCTACACTTTGAAGCAGACCTTCTGTTTAACTGCCCTGCAGCATTTAGCTGCCTCCCAGCTCCTGCTGAAAATCAGAATGTATCTGTCGGGTTCACCATCAAARGGCTGTGTCTGTGTGAGCGAGATTGGAGACACCCTTGCGTTCTCTTTGCACTTGTTCTCTACTCTTGGTATTTTGCCTACAGATGAAAAGGTAAGATGCTCTTTCTAGCTCTTTGAGTTGTTCTGAGTGATGTCTTAATCCAGCTGGTTTGCTCTGCTTCTTAAAGGGAAAATCCTAGGGGAAAAAAAAAGACTCTGTGGTCTGGAGAATAAACAAATGACCCCATGCAGAGCTGTGTGTTGCTGGSTTGCTATTTGTTCCACTGATTTTGAAGAAGAACTTCAAAAGCTTTTTTAAAATAGATTTAGCTGTCAGCCTGCTTTTCTTTTGTTCCAGATAGCTGCCAAYAAAATAGTATTTCTAGCATTATGCCTTCAGCTAGTGAGCTTCCCAGTGCCTCCTAAATCAGTCCTCAAGGAACAGTTTATTGTCCTTTATGGCAGTAGAAAGACCTGCTTTTTGGACACTGCATGAAAAGAAGGACCCTGTGCTGCCTACCTCTTCCCAGGGAATGCTGAACTGAAAACTCCCAGGCTATGAGAAGCAACAGAAAGGATTCTTGGAAAGTCAGGATCAGTTGGCAGATGAGTGAATAGGCTTTTTTCCATGAACAGGATGAAGGCATCTCCCTCTAAACTCCCAGACACTGGGCTGCTGTGATGGCAGAGCTTTCACTAATTCAAAATTCTCCATATCTGTCTCCCAGGCTGAAAGAAAAGAGGAAAGGAAGAGCCCAGGTTATTCCTAGGGTGTCTTCTGTCAATGCCACAAAAAGGCTCAGAAGGTCTCAAAGTCTGTTACCTGCAGTCCTTACAGGTGACAATGGCTGATCAGTCAGAAAATCACCTGGGGGAAGGAGTGTGAGCCCTTGTAATTAAGCAGCAAAATGGTTCTCCTGGTGAACAGATGGAAATCWGGTGCAGCCAAGGGCTGAGGTGCAGGAAAGACTGGGATGAGGTTCAGTGAAAAGCTGTGACTGTAACTATGACAGTATTTCTCAAATGTAAGCACAGGCCTGGTGCTTACAGTCAGTATCCCAGGGAACTCTGTTCTTAAGTGTGTCTTCATGCTGCCCAGAGAGAGAGGGACAGTCTGGAAAAGCTGCACTAAAAAGGCTGCAAATCCCTCTCCTCATTTTCTGGGAAAGGATAGGAGAATGACTAAATAACTTAGAGAATGCTCTGACCTRTGTAACAACCCAAAGCCATGTCTGGTAACACAAACACAGGGATGAAGGAAGACACTCAAAAACATGACAGTGAAGCATAATGAGAACATTCCACAGCCACTGTGCTAGTGGACTCAATGAAACTTCATCTCAATGTTCTTGGGACTTAAATTATCCTCCCAGTGACAGCCTTGCCTAGTGACCTGTGTAGGATTAAGGAAGGAAAGTGGGACCAGYTAGAGAAACCTCAGTCTGCCTCTCTGCCCTTTGGTCCTTAGACCAGCATCCCCTGCTCTGCTGACAGCCTTTTTATTTCCCTGCTATGCCATGAGGTATCAGCACAAAATTTCCAGCGTTTTTTCTTCCTTTCATCAATTCCAGCTGCCCTGAAGCAGAATGTGAGCGCATGTGAAAGGCTCTTGAGCTGCTCAGGGTTGTTGCTGGTCCGGTGAGGSCACCATCTGCCCCCAGTTCTGTTCATCTTGACATCTTCATTGCAAAGGAAACCAGCTGTGAGGAGGGGCCAGTGGCCCATGGCCAGGATGCCAAGGTGGCAGCAGCCAGGCATGGTTGGGCAGCTGGTGTTGTGCCAGGCTCAGGAGCTGTGGGCAGGAGCTGCCCCCCCAGCCTCTCAGATGGTGGGCTGTCARTGGGAGGGCAGGGGGGCTACAGAGGAATCAAAGGCAAGTGTCCTACTGATTGATGGCCTCATTTGCACATGAAACTGGGACCTCTCAGTGCTGCAGGCCCTGCACATGCATCTCAGCTGCTGTAACCAGGGCTGGGAGGAGATAAGCAAAGAGGGAATAATTTGCTTCCAGCTCAGGACAYCATAATGGTTTTCATCTAAGTGTTCTAGGAGTGAATCTTGATGGCCTTTACAGTTCCTAAGTGCTGGTTGCTTATTTTTTTTTCTTTTCTAATTGCAGGTGAGGCAGAACACCCATGATTATGGAAACTTCTTCCACTTTCCCTTCTGTTCTTTTCCTGTGCGTGCTGGTTCTTTCTGACATCAGTCTTGCAGTCTCCCTGAACCCTGGCACAAAACTCAAAAACGTCCCAGAGAACAACAACAACCACCTTCAAAACCAAGAGATGTGGCTGCATCAGCCCAGAAGTGAGCACCATCACAGGCAAGGCTTGGCCAAGAAGGAGAGGGTCCATGCCATGCCTTCAAGAAGGCAGCTGGCCGGGGAAGAGAGCCTCAAGATGGGCAGTGGAGCTTCTGCTGTGGAAGATCTGGTGGCAGAAGGACAGCCAGCAGCCCTAAAACAGAATAAAGATGCGTTCCTGGGCTTTCAGTTGCCATATCCTCAGAGGGAAAACCAGTCCCCAGGCTCTGAGAAAGGAAAGAAGCAGAACCGAGAGCATCGGCGACACAGCCGCAGGGACAGGCTCAAACACCAGCGAGGTATTGGAGCTCCCWGAGAAGCTGTTGGGGCTGTTGGGTCACTGCAAATGAGTGTCTCTTGTGTGAGGGCATGAAGATGCAGCTGTGGTTGAGCCACGTGGGTGTGTGGAGGGTGTGGGGTATGTGCCTGCTCTAGGGAGAAATCTGCCAAACAAAAGAGGCACAAGAAAAAAGGGGAACTGCAAAACCAGAGAATTTGAGTGCTGGCTGCAATTTTGTGAAAATGGCCTGGTTTGTCTTACATTGGGAGCTCTGAGAGTCCCTAAGACTTGAGGGGCTCTTTTGGGGTGGCCTGCTTTGTTGGGGTTTTGTTTCTTTTTAGCAAATGGCCCCACTGAGAAACAAATATGTCCAARCCATGCTCAATCTCTCTACTGACTTCAAAAAATGACCAGAATTAGAAAGAACACAAACCCCTTATTTTGCTTTGAAGGCCAGTTTCTTCTCACCAGAGCTTGTATTCTTCTATGTTTATGTTGAACTACAAAAAAAAAAAAATCAGATTTTGATTATGTGAAATTGCACTGAAACTTTAAAATGTTGCTTTTTTTTGACTGGGACTGCTTTCCTTTGCAGGTCAAGTTGTGGGGGTGTGTCTGTGTGATACGAGCTCAGTGTGGCAAACCTTGAGTTCTGTTAAAGTGAGGCAATTTGTGTCTATCTTTGTGTCTATGTGACAAGCTGGKTGTCATGTCCTTGAGTTCCACCTATCACTCYTCCCTGCCTCAGTAAGAAGAGCTCTGTTGTTTTTWCAGGGGACCAACTAAACAGTTTGTGTTAGCAATATAGAAAAGTATGAACAAAGCTGCTTTGAAGCAATATTTGTAGACTACAAACAGGGCTTGTTTCCTGAAGTTAATTTTAGGTCTATATTTAAATTAATACTTAGGAAGAAGAGGGATAAATCCATGAAGATAATAATTTCAAGTTAGGTAGGTCCTGACTTGATCTAAATTGAAAAAACTCACTACTAAAATCAAATAAAAATGTGTTCATAGGTATTTGCAACAGCTTAATCCATTGGTTTAAAAATGGCTAAACTGGTACATTTAGCACTCTTGAGACCACAAAAAGGCCATCTTTTGCTTCTTAAGCAAGACATATCTTCAGGAAGGTTGATTATGTATGTCTTAAGTGTATAAAAATCAAGCTACAAATACTCTGGACCTGATTTATCACTTTAAYAGCTCATTACTCTGTTTTACACTGGTCTAAGCAGCAGCTCAGGGTCATGGAACAGTGGCCAGCAACTGGATGAAATGTAAATTCCTTTCACTCAAATTTGTCACAGGGAGAAAAGGGATGAAAAAGGTAATGCCACTGTACCTGTTGCCCTCTGCAGGGAAGACTCCTGATGCTGGACCAAGCTCCCTGTACAAGAAACCCAAAAGCTTTGAAGAACGGTTTCAAAACCTTCAGGCAGAGGTAGCTACAAGTCTGACTCCCACYGTGCTCCTCATTACTGCACTGGACACTGCAGTTTCCACGGAAGAGCCTCCTGTTCTTCCAGCCACCTCCCCGCGGTCAGAGGTAAAGACACAGCTGGGAACTGTTCTGKACCTCCAAGCCTTGCCTCTCCCTCAGCTGTCCAACTTCACTGAGCTTTAAGGACCAGAGAGACAGTAGGAGCCCTTACCTAAAGAGCTAGCATGTGCTAATGCTTGTTGCTYACCTTTTGTTCTCACAAAGAAGCAGTGGAAACTTCCCTTTTGGCTTCAGCCTCTATAAAGGAAAGCCYTTCCCTTTTGAAAATGAGATGCCAGAAATCCCCAGTAGACAAGACAGGAGTGGAGGAGGGGAGGGGGAATCATAAAGCCATTTTAATGTCTAAAAGCACCATGAAAATTTGCAAAGACTTTAGGTTCCTACAGAAGTGTAATCCGTTGTCTGTCTGCTCTTTTTGGGTTTGCAGGCCCGCTTCAGGCAAGATGGGGATGTGATGCCCACCTTAGACATGGCACTCTTTGACTGGACCGATTATGAGGATCTCAAACAGGAAATGTGGCCATCTGCTAAAAAGAAAGGTGCTAAACCTCCCTGTCCCCTTCCCCAAAGTCAYCCTGTAGGGTTTGTCTATGGTTAGTATTCACAGATATGCTGAAGGACATGAGATCATAGTGGTGGGGAAAGAGAGAAGTAGAATAATGCTGATTGTGTTTTGTGCTCAGTTTCAGAATGCTTCTCATTTTGGATGTATAGTTTGAGGGCAGAGGACAAATGATATATGGAGAGTTGAGACATAGGGAGGCAATTAGACTATGAAGGTTTAGAGTTCAAACTCCTGGAAGAATATACTCTCCAAAATGAAAACAGTAGTATGAAATTTTTTTATCAGCATCTTTTTTTTTTTCCATAGAAAAGCGTCGCAGTAAGAGCCCCAACAGTGGAAATGAAACCRTGACAGCTGAAGGAGAGCCATGTGATCACCACCTTGACTGCCTCCCAGGTCAGGATCAGCTTGGCAGAGTCATTCTCCAAACATGACATGTTTGAAAGACATGTATTCTGATTTCTACTATTCACACTAAATGGTATGCAGGGGAAGGACAGAGGCTCTCTAGGCATATTGTGGGGTCAGATGGTATCTGTATGATGGAGCTGTCACTGGAGGTGTCAGTAGCCCTACAGGTAAGGGGACACCTGAGCTGTGCTGAGCCCTGGTCCTGTGTTGCAGGTTCTTGCTGTGACTTGCGTGAACGTCTCTGCAAACCCCACGATCGAGGCCTTAACAACAAGTGTTATGATGACTGCATGTGCACTGAAGGTGAGTCCAGCTCTTTGCTACCCCTCTTTGTAGCAGGTAGTGTTGACTTGGAATAGTGGCTCTGCTGCTCTTGGCCTTTCTCTGCCAYTGACTCACAGTGTGACTATTGACTGAGTCTTCTAGGATATCTTACTTTCCCCCTTGAAAACAAAACTCCTGATGGTGCAAACCTAACAGAAGACACAATATATTTTCACTTCAGTGGTGCTTTCAATTATCACAGGCTACAAAACCAGACTGCTTTGTATGACCTTGTGCCTAACATGACATTCCCAAGTTAATTTCAACTAAGCTTGTAGCAATTTAGTTGATGTGGGAAGGATACAGTCTTTTGTTTCTTGAAATTATTTTTGAAGAATCTGCAGCAACCATTACTAGGCAGGTTCACTCTTCTAGTGTGAACACGTTCAGGATCAGCTCCAGGCACTGAGTCTTGCCTGCCAGAACAAAACTCTGATTGCCAAATGTTGTGACCTGCATTAGGTACCCAGTGATTTGACCAGGCTGTTCACCTACTTTGTACCCAGTTAAATGGGCACCTTTCCTGGAGTGGCAATGTTAAATGATAGTCTTCACCTTGGTCATCTTATGTAACACCTGAAGGTCCTAATCAGAGATGACCTTCTGATAGATTAGCCTAGGAAAGTGTTTCTGCAATCCCTRATGAGGCTGCCCCAGGCTCTGCTTTATCCTTAGGCTAGTTATAAGTTGATAGCAAATGTGCATCCTTTGTAACATAAAAAAAAATCCCCAGAGATGGAAGACCCAGATAAGAGGTTTAGATGAGGGCAGAGCTCTGATCTTGTGTGCTCTCCTTCTAGGAGGCCAGATTGCCCTGGAGTGATTGGTAATGAGGGGCACAAACCCAACTTTTTAAGGTAGCTGGTCTCAATGTAGCTCAGGGACATGATTCCAAAAGGCTGCTCTGTGAYCTCATCTGGGACTCCAGTGTACAACCAAGGACAGTTTTGGCTGTCTCATTACAAAAGCTATAAATCTTCAGCCTCCCTTGCTCTGGGGATGCTATCTGCTGCCTGCTCTGGAAGTTAAGAGCTGCAATTTCTAGAAGGATGAAATCAGCTTCTGCCAACCCAAATGATCAGATCCTACACTRCTGAAAAGCTGGGTTTTCATGAGAATTATTTACCCATAGGCTGTACACTGTGTGGCCCAAGTAGCTATGCATTCTGGTGTAACAAAGTCAGACAAGAAACACCATAAAATCAACCTATTGGTGCCAGAAACCAATTAGTTACCATGATCAGAGGCTCCCATTGCCTTCCACTGCCATGGGAGAATATGTACTCACAGTATTTTTTAGAAATAAAATGCCTTTTTTCTCCTTCATACTCACCAATGCTGTATTAGCTAGCTTCCTTCAGACCCTACACTTTAAACATCTAAAACTGAGAAATTGAAGATGAGCAGCGGGCTTTGGATCAGACCTCCCAGTAACAACACTTCAAAGTCTCCTCCCTTCTCTCTTGAAGCTTCAKGGAAATAAATAGCAAGGGGAGGTCCCTAGCCATTGCTGCTGCACATTAAGTCTATAGTAATTTCCCAATGGAGAGATCACTTAGACAGTAATGGGAACTAATAGGGGGAAACCAAGCAGGGCTTCYATAAAATCACTGGAAACAATTGGAATAATTCATTGGTATTTCAAGAAGCYAGTGAAAACCYGCCTGAACCAATGAATCCCAAACCAGAACAGAGAGCCAAASAGAATTCTAGTGCCCAGAGAGCAAYATGCTGTCTGTGGGAGGCATTTYTCTGCCACCCCATTTGACACAGCCCAGGGACTGTCCCCAGTGCAGCAGGATCTGAGGCAGAGAGATAGTTGGTGTTRCTGCTCTAGTGAGCCCTGCTCCCTCCTCACTTCTGCATGTCTTTTCCATAGGGCTACGCTGTTACGCCAAATTCCACCGGAACCGAAGAGTGACCCGGAGGAAAGGGCGCTGTGTGGAGCCTGAATCAGCCAATGGAGAGCAGGGTTCCTTCATTAATGTGTAGGAGGGTAGGACTCCTGTCTGGAGGGTCAGGAGCTGGGGTCCAACTATTTATACTTAGCAATGGGAATTAGAGGAAAAAAGTTGAGCAAATGATTGAAGCTGTAGACTCTGAACATGCCAGGTCCCAGCTAGACTGAAACTCATGTTCATTATAAATAGAGTGGTATCAGCCTTTTCCATAGCAGGACTGCTTGCCCCCTCCCTTCCCTCAGCACATTCSTGCCACTGATTTGAGTCCACCTCTCCCAGTTAGTAAGCAATGAYCATGACTCCCATTCTGATGGTCCTGGCAGGAAAAGAGTCTGCAGTTTCATCTCCTCCTCTCAACAGGCAAGATGTGGAAGATCCTTCAGGGCAAAGGGGTTATGAGCTTAAACTTTACCCCTTAATTATTAGTTGAGAATAAAGGTAGATAGATCCTCCTTACGGAGGTTCCTAGAAGAGAGGAAACTTGTAGTGTCCAGRTGGAATCAAAGATGGGAAATGGATCAGCAGGAAGCTGCCTGCCTAGGTGAGAGAGGACCCTCTGACAGACCTCTTGCTGTTTCCTTTTCTACTGCTCCAGACATATTCCCTAGCTGTTACACACTAGCACTTCCTACCTGTCATCTCTGGGACCATCCATTCCCATTCCATTCTTCATTCCTTTCTTCCTTTCAGAGAACCACCTGGTTTCTGCAAGGATGTGGCAGGACCTCCCAGCCTGCAGCCCTCACTCATTTAGCTATCCTGCCAGGTCTGTTATTTTTAATGATTATTTTTAGGAGCTTTCTAGGGAAGTGATAGTTTTCCTAGTGAGCCAAAAATAAAATTTTTGGTAACAGGAGATAGGGACAGGCTGTTCCATTGTAGTAAATCCTGTGACATGTTGCATGTGTGTTTCCATGATATGTAAATAAAGATATGATGGATATCCTTTGTGCAACTCTTCTGCTTTTTTGACTGCACCCAAGGATGTGGAGGAGCCACAAAAGCCTATAAGGGAGTTGGGTAAGAGGTAACACTGATGATTTGAGGTAATCACACAGAACAATTGTGCCACTGGTAGAAAAATTTCTCTGCCCAAGGTACCCTGTATTCTCACTCAAATTGCAAATAACAGATTCTGCCTGGTGTAGTCAGTCAAATATTTTAAACTTCTTTATATTAATACTGAATTACTGGGTTCAGTGATATGTTGGAGCAACAAAGGCTACCTGTGTTAATCTGGAGTAGTAGTAACTGGTAAAGATGTTCTTTGCTACTGCTGACACCCCAATACCCTGAATTCTTTGGGGAGGTAGTTCTGAAGCTTTCTGTATTCAAGAGTCTGGAGACGTACAGCACTTTCTGTAGGAACAGAAATGTTAATTGTGCTGCTRTGTGCAGAATCCTCTTTACACAGCTTCTGTAAACCCCCTGTGTTCCATTAARTTAGTCAAACCTCTATTTTACAATCCCGTTTATGCTGTGGTGCCACTCTGCATTGTGTATTCACTCAAAGACTTGTGTGCATTATACTTTACATCTCTAATATAATGAGTGCTCAGTCATGGCCACAGAGAGATGCTGTGAATACAGTGTCACTTCTGACCTGCACACACCTGCACTGCTAAAGGAGGAATTCATGTGGGAGCTTTTAGGCAAAACCTACCACGGGGCTGGATGTAGCTGTTTACATTTCTGCTTACAGCACGACAGGCTTAGCCCAAAAGAYAGATGTAAAGAAAGGTGGTTTGCCTCCAGCTCAACATCACAGCAGCAAGGATTCAATTTTTTGAATCCAGGGAGAGCAGTGCAGCCCCTCCYTCAGCCCAGATGCAGAATAGTGGGTGGTGCTGCCAGTGCCATTGTCAATGGAAGCATAAGGGAAAAAAGGCTCCTAATTGATCACAGTCAATTGCAGAGCTCTTAGCCTCTGGTCTGTGTGACACTGATGAGAACCACATGCACAGGCACTAACTATCAAAACCAGTTTTGATATCACACTGCTTTTCAGTGTAGGAGCCMAGATCTGGGGGGAACAGTGCAACTGAAAGCAAGCAGGAAATTTTGTGGGGGTCTTTATCCTTGGTGATGCAGGTATTCCTTGCCCCTTACACTACATGTGGAATCCGTGTAGCATCACAGACAGTGTTTGAGGCAAGACTGTTACAAATCATGTGAAATACAAGCAAGTCTGAATCTTGTCAGAGCTTTTAGACTCCAGAGCTTTTTCAGCCCTCAGTCTGCTAACTCTGAATATAGAGAACAGATTATTCTTAATTGGTAGGATTAGTTAAATGTGTAAGGTCAGTGAAACTTCAGTTAACTATTACCAGTCAAGTCAGGGACTAGTGGTTTGATTGTTCACACTGGAGTTTCACAAAGAGAGCCTGTGACCAAGTGTCATTCCTGCTGAATTAATCTGTGGTGTTGCAGAGGGTGAGCAGTGGTACAGGCACGTTGTGCATAGTCACAGCAGTGTGAAAAGAGTCAGCCTGAATTATGGATCAGCCAGATCAACTACTGACTTTGCAATTGCAGTGCAATTGTTGAGTAAATCATGCGATAAGGCGTGGAATGCAAGAGCAGCCTGTGATACAAAGCCCCAGGGCAACATTTGTACAAGTCCAACCCACTTGAGAGCATGGCAAAGCTTTCTAGTGCCRCTCTCTGCTGTCTCAAGGGCATGACAGCAGCTGCAGACCATCACCACYACTGGGTTACTCTTAGCAACTTTCCCCTTCCTTTCCTCTATCTAATAGTCACAGTGCAGTCAGTGACAGTTTTGCCTTTGAGGGCACTAGGTCTGAGCAAGAAAGAGATACAAATGTCAAGCAAGGCTTGATTTATGTATTCTTYTCAACTGATTGTTTAAGAAACTCAAGAATTCACACAAGCTCAGCTTCTCTGCTGCCCCCAGAGAAATTAAGTCAGAGCTCTTGCAAGATTGTCTGTTGTCTTGAAAGGACTTTGGACCAGGCCCAAACCAGCCATAGCAGGGCTCTGTGCAATAATTTCTWAAGTTAATTAATTGCAGGGCATGCATGCAAGAAAGGTGAGCAATGAAGTCCCACCCAAAGTCCTGCTCTACAGCTACTGCTGTTAGTAGCATCCCAGAGGGAGGTTATGCATCCCTTGAAACTGCTTCTCCAAGGGTGAGAATCATTAAACATGGAAAAGAGAGGACAGCATGCTGTTTGACATAATCATTTCAGCAGCTGCCTGCTTTGCAAATGCTGTTGAATCTCTGGGATCTTTCTGRCAGTTGCCAAAATTATGACTGCAGGAGAGACAAGGAGTGGAAGCACAAATTATAACACTTGGGAATCATTCAGGTCTATAATAGTCTGCATTCATTTTAGCTTGGAGGTGTTTTATTGAAAYTCTCTCTCTTCCCTCCCTCCCCCAGTAATTACCCTGTTGTAAATCCAATGTGTGTGAAAGTGCCTCAGTTTCAAACCCATGCTAACACCAAATTGTTCACGTCCATGCCAGTCATTCTCTGCTGCACAAAGCCTGAAAAAACATTGCTTTCATCTTTTTTATCAGAAACAAACTGAGGGCTGTTGTTTTCTTGGAATGTTCTGACTGAGCATATGTACTCCCTAAACCCACTTCTGGTGTGTCAGTTCATTTTCTGGAGTGTCAGTGAATCTTGAAGAGTAGTCCCTCAGTGCTATCTCAATGCTTTAGTTAAATTTTAGAAAATCAGAGGAGATTGCTGATGAGATTGGGAAGGATTTTCAAGTGCATTTGTCAAGATACCACCTTAGTRTGACCCTCTCCACTCCACAAATCACCTTGCCATAGTGTGTTTTGCAGTGCAATTGCAGGAGGAGGCTTTCCCCCAGCACTACAAAAGGCCTTCAGTTTTCCCTCCCAATCCAGATAATGATTCTGCCTGCTGAATTCCCATTGGGATTTAAAAGGGAGTTTGTAGAGCCACRCAACTTCTGCATGCCTTTCCTCACTACTTATTAAGAAAGGCTCTGTGGCTAATATATGTATTTGTGCTGAGCTGGTGCCTTCATTGCTCTCAGCTCCATAGCCAGGGGCAAAACTCAGAGACAGGGGTGTCAGCTGCAGCCTTTAGTTACCTTCAGACCAAACCCCTAGAGAGGAGAAGAAGGGCAGAATTGTGAGGGGTGAGCTTGTCTCCACTCCCACGGGCCAGATAAGGACTCCAGGAGCAATTGTATTAGCTCCTTTACTTCCCTATGCAATTGCTACCACCTCACCCACCAAGAGTACAGTGCCTTGAAAATGCAAAGGAAAATATTTCTGCCTTATTACTCCACTTTTCTGCTGTCAGGAGGGGAGCCAGCTGTATGTTAGGCTTTTACTCAGTCTGCACAAGCTAAACCAATAGATTTTTAAAAACAATAGACTTGGCAAAGCAGCTAATTGCTGGGTATTGGTTGCAGTGAGCTGAACTCACCTGGAGCAGTCTTCTAGTCACAAAAATCTCCATATCCAGTCTCCKGAGACCCTGCAGGTCTGTAACTTGCTGCTTATCTTTCTCTCCGTGTTGTGTTGCTTTATCAAGCCTGAGGAAGGGAAGAGACACAGTGGGTTACACAGAGAGGCAATTTACAAGGTACAAGCAGCACAAAGTAGAAATAAAAAACAAGCAACACCCAGATCACACAGGTGTGAGAGACGTGCAAATGCATAATGTCTGTCATAGCTCTCATTATTTTCATATCCATGAGATCATTAAGACATTTTTAAGTCCCATGAGCCCATGACATGCAAACCCAGGATATAATAAGCAGGGCTGAATTAATTGCACAATACACTGATGAGCAAAATGAAGTAAAGTGCTTTTATTGTACAAAGGGAAAAGCTTTGCGCTAAACAGCGGACACATCAATTCAAATTATGGCTCATGCTGCATAAATGATAATGAGACTGTCTGAGGCTGAGTGAGAATGCTGAAGGGAGCAAAGACACCCACATGCTGCTGCATCCAAACAGTGCTTATCATTCAACTGGGACAGTGGAATTTGTCTTCATAACAAACTGTTCTGCTTTGATAGATACTGGCAGAAGGGCATCCTAGWGCACTTCACACCCAGCACTGAGCCAGCAATATGGCTATTCAGTCTCTCTATCTTTCCCCTCATCCCAAGTGTCATATCTTTTTGTCATTTATGTTGAAATCCAGTCATTCCATGACATTACTGGAACCACCAGCATTAATCCCATTTGATACCCCCACTTCTGTAAGCAGATGCAGGACTGCCCTGCAAGACACAGTAATGTGTCCCTGCAAGACCCAATAATGGAAATAAAATCACAGCTCATGTGTCATGTGGCAATAGATGAGTTATATTTCAATCTTTCATTTGAAAGTGACACATTCAGAGATTCCCGAGGGGACTTTCACAGCATTTTTGTTTTTCTTACTGCTGTTCTAAGCTATGCAGCCAGTCAGTCTTATTCTGATGCTCCCTAGCATTTCCTAGGTAATTTCATTTTGGCATTTAATGCTTTGCCTTGGGAGATCTTAAAGCGTGCAGCATACAAGCAGTCAATAGCATTCAGGACACAGTCAAGGACAAGGACAGCACTACATTTGTGTCTTGTTTGAGAATGTGTGACAGTAGGTTCAGCACTGCACAATTCTCACTGCTTGGACTGGAAATGAGACTGAGGGATGACTCACGCATTTCCACATCCAACTTCTGCAATGAACCTCTGACCCAACTCATTCCTTAGAGGCCCCATCTTTTCTGTAAGAATGAAGAATGACAAGAAAGGAAATGATCTAGTAAGACACTGCAGTCTTACACTGCAGACAGGTACATCACACATCAGGCAAGGAAGGGAGGGCTTGAGAAGTGTCATCCTGACCTCTGGGTTCTGTTAGTTTGTTTGGCAGACTTGAGCAGAAGGCTGCTGGTATGAACTGGACAGGAAATGGTAAGTTATAGCTGAAC